ATGGCGGAAGAGGTATTGTAGAATAGCTTTGCTTCCTATTTAATCAAATGTGTACGTCAAAATGCTTCCCTGGAGTATGTAAGCGCAGAGTAATTGTCCCCGATATGTATAGACGGACGATCAACCGAGCACTCCAAATATCGCAGCATCGTGATATTACCTCACTGCCCATTCCGGAAAAGGTTTTTTCTGAATGATCTTCGAAAGAATGAAACGGGCAATCGAGAGATTTCGCCAAAATTACACGGACTTCCAGACGGAGTGCTCCTGCCCTGGCTAATTTCATTCTCTGCAGGATCACTGAGCAATGCCGACGCTCGCAGTTACTTTGGCTTATCAGTTTCTTCAACTTCAAGATTGCATTTGATTCATTAAATTGTCCAGTGCTGTTGAAAATCTAAAAATGCTATGGGATACATCGTTTCTATTTTGGAAGAGATACATGCATGAACGATATCTGTTGTCAAAATCGAAGGAAATGTATCTGAACGGTTCCCTAGTAACTGTGGAATTAGCCAGGGAAATATACCTTCGCCTTTGCCATTCAACCTTGCTCTAGCCTTTCTTCTGTGAAAGCGCTGACCCGGGCAAAAAGCAAGGTCTCATTCTACAGGGAAGAGAGTTCAGGAAACCGGCTAGATATCTTGTTGACCTAGAGTACGAAGATGATACTATTCTGGTAAGTAGTATGGAGATGGGCTCTGTCACTTGACAAACGTCATATGCAATACAGCTGCGAAAGACGACCTCTTTCTTAACGCTCTGAAGGAGTCGCTTCATGAGGAATCCATCTGGCATAACTGATCTGCAAGTGAATAGGAAGGTGAAGCGCATATACAGGGTAACAAGTTTTCTCCAGCGATGACACCCTCCGATCTAAGTTAAAGAGAAAAATGGGAGGATCGCCTTCGTTGCCTGTACCTTTGGCGACCCGTCAAATATTTTGACTGAGAAAGGTAGCCATTTCCACAAAAAACCGTCTGTAACTTGTTTCGGTTAGGTCCTGTCATTTCGTGGTATAGAAACAGTCGTCTTCATCAACAAGAACGATGGTTGAACTGCGTACAAGAATTGGCGAAAATTTCTATTTTATTAGGGTTAGATGGCAGAACATCACAAGTAACAATATCCTACTCCATACACAGATCTGTGCGCAAATAAGAAAATAAGAACAAAAATTTGCCCTGTCAGACAAGTTGGCTGAAGATAAACCACCTACTCCAGCTTGCAAGCCTGTTTGGGAGCCAAAAAATGACAAAAGTGAGGTCAGCATGTAACTCCAGTAACTCGGAGAAATAACATAGGCATGCCTGCTTTGGAAGGGAATTACTTACTTCTACGATGCAGCAACCGGTGCTTTGTAGCAACAGTGTTGCAAAGCTGCGAATACAGTAGGCATCACAAACCAGAGACGTTCTGTTTCTGAAAAAAGCTCGAGGTGATGACCACAGCCACACAACACGCACACACGTCCATAGGTAAAAATGGAGATGAAATATTCCTCAGCATATCAGATAATTATAGTTCGTTTAAGAATTCAGTATATTCAAGCTACAGACGACGTTATTATCATAATCAGTAAAGTATTTTTCACTACTCGAAACAGCAGTTTCGTTCTCGGATCTGTCAATTTATTCCATCAGCAAACCACCTACAAAGCATCTATCATATGTTTCTTATTATGTTGATGGTCGTTTAAGGATAGCGTAATTGAAACGATGGAGTTAGCTAGGTTGATGAGGCCGTTTGATGTGGCTAAATAGATGCCAAAAACAGGATCCCGGCTTTGTGCTAGAAGATGTTCAGAGAGCAGCTGAAATGAACGGCTGGAACGGAACGAGAAAAATCAGGAACACCGGTCAGCCGAATATTCCTCATATTTCTCACTGCAAGCAAATCATACTGTGTTGCGTGACGATCGACTGTTTGGCAGTTTTTGTTTCCAGCACCAGAGTTAGACATGTTTTTGGAAACACCGAACGAAACTTCGCGGAGCAGCCTCAGGTGAAACTTCTGGCGCGGTGGTGGCTCTAATCTGCTACGCCTAAGGCGAAACACTACGCAACCGTCATCGGAAACAATCGCATTCTTAAAATACTTTCCTGCGTCCAGAGTTGCATTGCGTTGCGTCGATCAAAGCGACTCGAAGAAGAATGGTCGAGTGGCAAAGTTGCGTTACCAGTCGACGGGAATGTGAAAAACTTCGTTTTTGTAACTTCCAGCGCTAATCATCGATAATTAAGTCTGGGGGGAGAAGGTAAGGGAGAGAACAATGCATGATCGGCCTAGCAAACGATCCATCGGCACAGCATAACACACCGCGACGCAAAATTGTTTGTTATCGAAAGTTTCTCGTGTACATATCTGATCAGCATATCTACTTCACGCTAACGGACCAAATTACTTGATTTCGTCGAGTTCTTCCCGCGGTACAGCTTCCTGCACAGGTAGGCGAGACCGAGCAGCAGGCAGCAGATCAGTCCAACGACAAGTAGAAGTATCAAAATAAGCAGCCTGCAAATCACATACGTTATGGAAGGATAGCCAAAAAAATTTGAAATCGAAATCGTACCATAAAGGAATGCCCTCCTCGCTGGGTAAACAGCATTCTCTGCCACAACACACTTTCTCGGCGCTACATCTAAAATGCTTTATTGATTGTAAAAGAACGCAATACCGTAGACGTACAACACTGGCGGTTGGAAAATGATGTTTAGTAAGTAAAGAAGAAAAAGAAAATAGGAGCGAAGACAGTGGCAATCAGTGCTGTTGGCAACAGCTGTCAGTGTGTGTATGTTTATAGACGTTGTTTGCATAACAGGAACCAAGAGCGGATTGAATCCAAGGCAAATATGTCAATGCAGCCGTCGGATACTGTTGACACAGTGGATAGACACGGACGGGTAAGGGTAGAGTGAGACCAATGGACAACTTCAACAGCTGTGACCACCACTCACCTGGACACATCTCCAACGCATACCTGAAAATGTACAATTCATCCTTGGCGTTGATGCCCTCTTCGGTGGACGTACAGACAACGAATTGACCATCGTAGCCCTCATACTCCACGCCGCTGCTGCCCGCCTGTAGCTTCATGCTGGCGGTCATCGCGGCGGACACCGGCTGAATGCAGC